CGAAGATTTCTCGGAGGTCGTCGGCGTGAGTGCTTGCCTTCTTGCTCTTGACGATCATGTCGTCAACGTAGGCCTCCATGGTGCGTCCGAGGACAGCTTGAAAGACCCTGGCCACCATTCGGGTGTAGGTGGCGCCTGAATTTTTTAGGCCGAAGGCCATCACAAGATAGCAGAAGATGCCTTCGGGTGTCATGAAGGCGGTTTTTTCAGCGTCTTCCTCATGCATGTAGATTTGATGATATCCGCGGAACGCGTCGAGGAACGACATGATCTCGCATCCCGCGGTCTCATCCACCAGTTGATCAATGTTTGGCAGAGGGAAGGGGTCCATAGGGCACGCCTTATTCAGATCAGTGTAGTCCACGCACATGCGGAAGGTAGGAGGCTTCTGTGCGAGGACTACGTTTGCCAACCAAGAAGGGTATTTCACCTCCTTAATGTGTTTGATGGAGAGGAGCATAGATACCTCCTTCTTCACGAACTCCCTTCTCTCGGCCGAGAGGGGTCTTCTTCGTTGCTGCACTGGTTTGGCCGAAGGGTCCACCGCCAGGCGGTGGGTGATAACCCTTCGGTCAATTCCTGGCATGTCCTCCGGCCCCCATGCAAAAACAATGGAGTAGGCGCGGAGGGCCTCGGTGATGCCAGCCTTCAGGCCTTCGGGGAGCTTGGCTCCAATCTTCAGGACTCTCTCCGGCTTGGCCGGATCGAGTATCAAGTCTTCGGTTTCCTCGGCAGGCTCAGCCCTCGGCCTGCCGTCTTCTTCCTCCAAGGCTTTGGTGGTGATTGTGTCCACACGAAGTTCAGTCTTACTAACCTTCTTGGTCAGTTGAAGGTAGCATGCCCTGGAGAGCTTCTGATTCCCCCTCGAGTAACCGATGCCGGTAGGTGTGGGGAACTTGAGACAGAGGTGCCTCATGGAGATGACGGCCTCCAAATCTTCGAGGGCAGGCCGGCCGAGGATGATGTTATGTGCGCAGTCGAGGTTGACGACGACGAACTCCACTTCGAGCTTGGCTCTATGGGACCCGTCGCCGAATTCGACCATGAGTGTGATGACGCCCTCGGCGTCTATGCTATCCCCTGTGAATCCGGAGAGGGGGGTGTTGATGTGCCGAAGGGACCCCCTATCGAGTCCCAACTCTTGGAAAGTGCTGAGATACATGACGTTGACAGAACTCCCCGTGTCGACGTAAGTCCGGTGGATGATGGCGTCATTGATCTCAGTGCGGATGACGAGGGCATCCCTATGCGGCAGGGAGCCCGAGGGGAGGTCCGCATCTGTGAAGAAGATGGGATCCGCCCTCGGCCTTTTAGTAGGGGGCATGTGATTGACCTCCCCAATGTAGAGGGACTGTGCCCACTTCTTCCTTTGGCTCGTTGAATCGCCTCCGGTGTTGCCGCCGTTAATCATATGAATATGGCGCTTGTATTGTTGATGGGAGCCCTCTCCCTCGTCATCGAGGCCACCGATCTCACGTTTCTTCACCTGTGGGTTCCCCAAGGGGATGGTGTTGGGGTTTACCCATTTGTTTGCCTTCGGCGGGGGCCCTTGATGATGAGGGGGGCCCTGGGGAGGAGGGCCCCTGATAAACTGAGATAAGTGGCCCGCCTGTATCAGCCTCTCAATCGCGTTCTTCAGCTGATGGCAGTCGTCGGTTTTGTGCCCATGGTGGCGGTGGAAGCGGCAATAGGGCTCATCAGGACCGATGGCATAAATCTCGAGGGGTGTACGGGAGTCTCGCTCCACGAGCCCCCGCTCTTCTGCATGATCGAGAATGACGCTGACGGGATGCGTCAAGGGAGTGCGTGGGTGCTCAAGGAGGACGGGTTGCGCCCATGCCTTCGGATTGTTCTTGTAACCGCCCCCGGGTCTGGCTTGGCCACCTCGGGAGCGATCGTTGTATTGGGGCTCTCGGTTGGCCGGAGGGGGAGGCCCTCCGGGCCGATTCCTGCCCTCATTCTTCTGAGAAGGATCCGTGTTGCGGCGGTCCTTCTCGATTTCCTCTGCCTCAGCATAACGGTCCCCCCGCTGAAGGGCCTTCGTATAATCGCGGGGGGGATCAGTGATAAGGCTCCGAGAGAAGTTACCGTTGCGGAGGACGGTGTGGAAGAGGGCCATCAGCGTCCTGTCATCAGCGCCTTCGACCTCGAGGGAGGCCTGCCTCCAGCGTTCCAGGAAACTCCGAAGGGTTTCCTCCTTCTGTTGCCTTACGTTTAGGAGGTGGGAGAAGTGCTTCTTTGAGCGATGCCTCCCAGCAAATTGCGTAAGGAAGCGGTGGGCAAGTTCTTGCCAAGAATCAATGCTGCCTTCGGGCAATCGGTTGAACCACTCATACGCGGGCCCCTCCAAGGTGGAAAGGAACCAACGGCATAAGTATTCATCCGAGGCCCCCATCATCATCATGCTATTTTGATAGCGGCTATAGTGTTCTTGGGGATCCGTCTTCCCCTCATAAGGCTTGATAGGTTGCCCCCGATATTTGTGGGGGATTTTGGCCGCCAACACCCTTGGGGTGAATGGCGTCCTGGTGCGGAGCTGAATGAGGGGCTCGCCGGAGCCTTCGGCGAGCTTGCGCTTCATTTCCTCCACTTGTGCCCGGAGGTCAGCGTATTCCGGGTCTGGTCTAGCTGTGGAAGCCGTAGGTGGTGCCTGACGATTCTCCTCAAGTTGACGGAGGAGGGCTTCAATGATTTCGTCCTTGGGATCCTTCGGGGCAACCCCTTGGGAGTTGGCCCGGAAGGACTGAGCCTGATTGATTTGGTGCCTGGCGTCATCGGCATGTAGGGGGGCTTTGCCCTTGCTCCGGGGTGGAGGTATGCCCTCGGCTCCCGAAGCGGAGGCTCCACTCTCCTGAGGCCTGCTGAATTCCTGTCTGCCGAGGCGGTCTTGGACCCCTCGGCGTATGGGAGCTCCCCCAAGCCTCTCAAGTGCAGAGGTCCGGGGTTTCTCCTTCATCAAGGGACGTTTATCCCTGGATTGGGCCTCTTGGGAGGCGGTATCCTGTGCTATGACCCCTTCGGCGTTCCAAATCCCCGGGGGAGGATTGTTGAACAGAGGAGGGAGCGGTGGTAATTGAATAACATTCCCTCCAGCGTAGGGCTGGAGGGGTGCCTGAGAGGCGAGGGCTCCGGAATTGAGAGCCATGTTCTGAACAAAGGCCGCAAAGGCAGCCTGAAGATCGATGGCCGGGGCCGGAGGGGGAACTTGGTTCTCACTCCGATCCCTCCTTCGATTATCAAGGCCAATGCGGGCATCGGGGGCGTTCTTCTGTAGTTGCTGACGGAGGTCAGCAGTAGCCTGCTCCAACTCAAGGATGATACCACCCTCGGGTACTAAGAGCCTGTTGGAGGCCTCAGCCCCGTTAGTCTCGCCGGGGGCTACGTGGTTCTCCTCGAGGGTTTTGGATTGGGCACGGGTGGTTCTTCCCATTTTTGGCGAGTGTTTTGTGTATTTGGTAGAGGGGGAGGGTTTCTTACTTGATAGTTCAGACCTCTCAATGAAAGCACCAAATGATGGACAGTCTACCCGGGGGGTATCTTATCCGAGGGGTTATTGCGGGAATAACTAGAGAGAAGTCAGAGTAAATAGGAGGAGAGAGAGTCGATTTTATTAAATGAACTCAGCGTGTGTAATCGAGATGTAGATTGTGTCCATTACAAGGAGAAATGGGCTGCTATTTATAGCAGCAATAAATGCGATGAGAGGACACGTGTCAGTAATCCAACGGCCGAAGGGTCACATCAGCCTAGTGGCACCGGCAGTGGTACGTCAACCGCATTGAATGCGGTTGGCGGATGTGACGTGGCATTAAATGCGGTGGTTGGCTGTCTCTAAAAGGAATCTTCGATGATTGAGCTTGTTCAGCCGAAGGCTCTTCGTGTAGCCGAGGGCTCCCTATGTAGCCGAGGGCTCATTGTGTAGCCGAGGGCTCCTTGTGTGGCCGAGGGCTTCTTGTGCAGCCGGGGGCTCCTCGTGTAGCCGAAGGCTTGGTTCAGCCGAAGGCTTACCCTGGTGCCGAGGGCATGAGAATGCCGAAGGCTTATGTCTCCGCCCGTTTTTCTCCCAGCAGCTTCTTATGCCAGAGAAGGCTATCCTGTGAGTTTTGAAGCCTTCGGCCAAGGAGGCCGAAGGCACCCCAGTGTGTATTCTGGGCCACTTTGAGGCTTGGGCCGTTGTATTTGGGCCTGAGTTGTTTCCTGAGCTCAATGGACTTGTGTAGGAGAAATAGGAGTCTATGGGCCGGGGGTTCCTGGGCCATATACTCCATCACTAACATTACTAGAAATGAAGTCATTAATGGTTTCTCTAAAATTTTAATATTCTTTCAATACATACCAAAATATAACATAAATTATCTAAAAAGAAAAAATAACAATATATATTATATATATAAACACACATATTTAGCTATTTTAAGGTTGCATAAAAACATACTATACAAAAAAGGTTGCATAAATACATACTTGGGCTATAAAATTGTTAGTCTATATAAGAGATCTATTGAATTGGTATAGAAAAAATATAAAAAATTCAAGTGCATTATTTTCAAACAGTTCGCTCCGGTATTTTTTGGTTCTCAAAATCTAGGACCGGTCTCGTACCCGTTTCAAACGGTACGGTTTTGGTACGAGACAAAAATATATAGAACCGTTTAAATTACCCGGTATTCAATTCGGCACCATTACGGGACGGTTCAGTACCGGTTCGGACTTTACGCCCACCCCTATGTACTAGGTTGGCCTAGGCTGGGGTGGGTCACGGATGCTAGTTGGCCCCTCCTAGCTCCGCCAGTGACTCCGGATGAAGAGACAATCTCGATTACAATGCAGTCCCAGTTGGAATGAATCTATATTAGAGTTAGTTAAGTTCAATTTAAACTACAAATAATGTTTCACTTCGTCCCACCCGGCCACCCCCTCAATTCCCCAGCGGTCCTAAGATTTGTCGGAGGAGGCTCCAATGCTACCAGCGCCAACCACTATAATTTGTTAGCCAATAGGGAAAAGGAAAAAAATAGAAATAGCCATTGGGGACAACAAATAGGCACATATTACACAACTGTTTACACATGGAGATCGTGATATATTCACAGTTTGACAAAAAATGGGCACATAATAACATTTTCCAAAACAAAAATTGTCAAATATAAATTGGACTATTGGAGTATATGTTTATATCCAGAATTCTAAGTTCTAACAATTCCATCTGCTTTATTACAGTTTGTATGGGCTTGTATATTTGGACTTGATCTGCTTATTCAAGCTGGTCATAGTCAAATCGATCTATTATCTCTTCTGGAAATTGAGCATCTTCATGGCCAAAGCAAACAATACTGCAAAGAGAAGCACAAAACCAGAGAGTACAGCTGCAGTTTCTCCAACAAAATCGCGCCTAAAACCTAAATAATGTTTCAAGAAGCTCTCCACTGTTTCGAACGTCTCCAAAACATCCTGTGAATCCCCAAACTGCGACGCCACCAGCCCGTACAGCGTCCATTGAACCGGTGACAATCGAAAATACCACCTCCACCAAACTGGAGCACGCTGTCATGAGAAGATACATAATACATTTTTGAGTTGAGAGAATAAAAGGCCGTACCCCATTCAGAAACTAGTCAAACTACCATGCAATGGGCTTTCGAGAAGGGCATATTCTACGATATATTTATGCAAGAATGCAAGATGGATTTCAACGATAATGATTTAAGATTCGAAGTCAACCAAATATTTGTCATAGGCAAAAGGTAAATATGGTGGTTATATATATATGAGTAATCTTCTGGAGCGCCGTCCGGCCTCCTCCTTTTGGAGGCCTTCCCGGTGGTATTTTTTGCTCAAAGTTTTTGTGTATGTTCTTCATCAAGTCTAGTTCATCTATACCAAATTTCAGCAAAAACTTCAATCGGGAAGGTCGTCAAATGATTTTGCAAATTAACTGGTCCGGAAAATACATATTCCGGACCAGTTAACTTGCAAAAATCGTTTGACGACCTTCCCGATTGAATGTTTTGTTGAAATTTGGTATGGATGAACTAGACTTGATGAGGAACATACACAAAAAAATTGAGCAAAAAATACCACCGGGAAGACCCCCAAATGGAGGAGGCCGGACGGGGTTCCTGTCCGGAAATTCCGGACAGGAATATTTGTGATATATATATATATATAGGAAATCTTTCCGGTAAGGTATACCTTACCGGAGCCGCCGTGCGGCCTCCACGTTTTGAGGGCCTTCCCGGTGGAATTTTTCGATGAAATTTTTTGAGCATGTTCGTCATCAAGTCTAGTACATCCATACCAAATTTCAGCAAAAAATTCAATCTGGAAGGCAGCCAAACGATTTTTGGAAGATAACTGTGTTTTATATGTATATAAAGGGTGCAGTTATCTTCCAAAAATCATTTGACTGCCTTCCCGATTGAATTTTTTGCTGAAATTTGGTATGGATGTACTAGACTTGATGAAGAACATACTCAAAAAATTTCATCGAAAAATTCCACCGGGAAGGCCCTCAAAACGCGGAGGCCGTACGGAGGCTCCGGTAAGGTATACCTTACCGGAAGAGTTCCCTATATATATATATATATATATATAGGGGAAAGATCAAGTACAAAGTGTGCTTATTGTGCAAATATTTGTACGATGCACCTTGACGTTATTTGCATTGCATATTGAGGTTCAAAGTATTGCACATTATAAAGTCATAAAAATAGCAGTTGCACATTAAGGTGCAACGAGTTGCACCTTAAAAAGTTGAGTTTTATTACAAAAGTGCCACCTTGCCTTTATGTCCTTTGGATCAACTCATCGGACGGTCAAGATGAGTTTGTACTTTGTAAATTAAGAAGACTTTGTATTTGATCTCTATTCTATATATATATATATATATATATATATATTTGTTTAATGTGAGATGTTATAATGTGATTTATATTTTTATCATTGATTTAAATATGTTTTTAATCCATTCAAATATAGTGTTTCTTGTTTTATGTCCCTAGAAAAATTGTTTTTATCATTTAACCCTGTAATTTTTTATACTTTTTGTTAGTCCATCAGTGATCATAAAACCTTTCGTTTGATTAGAAACAACCCGACTAATAGGTTTCCTATCATTTTTTTCCATGTCATTCGATCTTTTTTCTATCATGCCATTAACAAAATATGTACTTTTATTTTCAATATGGTTTAAAACTTATTTTAAAAACTTGATGATTAGTTTTACATTGTTTAAACTGCAATATTAGCCTCCAAGAAGTTATAAAACGATTAAATTAAAATATTCTAGTAGATTTATGAATTGACTCTATTTTTTGTAAATGAGGTTATGAGGATGGTAACAGAATTAGAGGAACTAAAAATAAAATATTGCATATTACTAGGATGTTTTTACTTGGACTGGAAATTTTTGGTCTGCGACTGAAAATAGTCCAAGTAAAAACATCCTTAGAACAAAATGTGGCACCTTTTGTGAGGACTAAAAACGTATTTAAGTATATTAACCGCAAAATTATTAACCCCATTATACTATATACCTATCAAAATTATTTCTCAAAATATATTCATATTACCTTATTTAATTATTATCTTAATAACCGTACCGTTTAGCAATCAGAACAATTTTGGTGGTATGTTTTTTCAATTAAAATACATTTATACCTATTATCTTTACTTTTTTACTTTTACAAACTACTTTCTCTTTCCTCTTATTATATTATTCCTACTTTTCATCACTTTTCACTTTCCTACTTTTTCATTTACCCTACACCCTCAATATTACCCCTACTATTTTCGTTTTAAGAACAAAAAAACTAGTAGAACAATTAATTATGAATGGATGTACTACAAACTACTTCGTATAAATTTTGTGTATTAGCCTCTTGTGATTTAAAAAATGCGTCAAAAACCCATGTCTTCATTAATTATGCCCATAATCCTCTCGAAGAACAAATGCAATTTCAAATGAATACAAAAATCAGTATTTTTGTATAATTTAGAGATCACGAATTATAATACGAGGGGGGTTGACACACTTTAAATTAATGGGCTAAGGTGCAAATTTTTTATATCACAATAGGGTTGACACATTAAACCCCAGGGGCGTAGCTAGGGAGCCGACCCTGGCTTCAGTCTAGTCGAAATTTAAAAAATGTCTTTTTTTTAGTGTACAAATTTTGTGTGAATTTTTTTCTAAAAAATATTCTTTGTACCGGTCTAGTCCGGCCCAGTGCCCTGGCTCCGCCCCTGATTAAACCCATAGAAGTAGTAAGACAAGATTAACTCATAAATGGATTAGGCTTACAGGTCGGGGAATCAAGAATCCCGAGAACAGGTTCCAGATTCCAAACGATCCAGTTGCCATGATGGATGCAACCTCCAGGTTTGGGGTCATGGCCACTGACATCATGCCCAGGAAAGTCGAGTACAAGAACGTCAAGAACATGATGAGAAGATACCACGAAAACTTCCGGACCGTCCACTCAAATCCAATCATAGAGTATACCGTGGCTCCATATATGAGTGCTTGTATCAAAATATATGGTAACTCAACCACAATCTGCAATAGAAATATCAAAGCGTCTAATAAAACTTCAAGTCTGCAACAGGGGAAAATGATACCAAGTGCATACAAGAACTGGGGTTGTTGAGAATTTATTTTTGGAGTTGTATTCGGATATATACATGATGCTTGTTAAACTGTCTCATTTCACATAACAAAATCAATCACATGTATGTTATGCCAATGCCAACCCAAATAAGTTGAGTATCCCACATCAGGAATTCACTCACATATCATCCACCTCATAGATATAAGAGATATATCCCCATCGCCAAAGATCAATGCCACTAACTTTATTATCTAGATTCTAAGGTTGAGTCTGCTCTCATGTGTCTTGGCCTTATTTAAAGTTATATTTGAAAATGAAGATAATCTAATATCAATGATCTAAAAACAGCAAACTAGGACTTAGCACCTTGGTGGGGTCTGGGTACGGATGATGGGGCTTATGCTGAATTAGGAAAGGCTGGTCAATGAAAAAAATGTAAGCAGGCAAGGGAAGATTTTTAGAGAAGAAAAGATTCAATATTCATGGCATATAAATATTCCAATGTGAAAGAGTAATATATTTACCATTGCAAATGAAAAAGGCAAGGCAGAATACATCCCTGCAGCTTTTTCTCTATAAAACACTGTCCGCTCTACTGCAACCGCTTGCTGAACAATGAATGCATTTAGACACCCAATAAACAGAACAGCTGCATACATGGAACCCATGGCATTGAACAAATCTTGTGCCTTACTCCTATAAATCAAGATGGACAAAAAAGTGTGACTAAAAGTCCCTTTAAAACTTGAGAAGTACTTGGGAAAAAATAGGGACGAAAATAGGAATTAGACTAAATTTAGGGGAAAATAAAAGATAGGGTCAAAGCCAATGCATTTGGTTTAGATATTTTTATAAACTTAGTTTATTAGTTTACCTCTATTATGTAAACATTGTAAAATCGAACATAAGAAAACAATCTTCCTTGGCATTGTTTTTGTTTCCCTACAATTTTCCACCATACATACATAATGCAGAAGGCAGATTGTGGAGAAAAAATGGGTGAAACCATCACCAGAAGGACCTTCTCCATAATGTAAAAAATGGTGCCATCCCTACACTGTAGCAAACGAGGCAAAACCTTAAAGTTGTCCTTCCCTCCACATGTCTGGGATCAGTGACTGACCTAAGCGAGGCAATGAGGAGATGCGGGTATGCAGCCCCCTCAAATTTGTTTTCTAAATTGAGATCATAACCCAATTCATTTTAAGTAGGTATTAATTATATATCAATTGACCTTCTCAGAAGTCAGAACATTATATTACCATTCTAAATAAGTATAATTTACCTTCTTCCACCAAGGTCCCAGAACATTGTCCCGAACATCAATGCAATAACAATAGTGAAAAAGGCCCTGAGGGCAGTGTACGATGTGTTATGCCAGTAGGACCATCTTTGTTTCTGGAGGCAAGCTATGAATTGAGTCAAGAAAGACTGTGAGTATTCGGTTGGAAACTTTATATCCCTTGAACCAAGAGGAGGTGTGCTCAGTTCTTTTACCAAAGCCATGTTTCTCCTGCAAAAGCATTCATATTAGGGCAACTCTCTACTAATCTTATCCTCCGTTAGCTAACAATAAAACCCAAATCCTTAGGATCCATTTGGAACCCTTAAAATTCTTGGAAAGAATTGGAAGAACAAAAATAATAGAATTGGTTTAATCTCAACAAATCAATTTTAGGTATTTATTATACCTCTTGTTATTTGTACTCCGTATATTTTTAATATATACACTAAGTATAGAAGAATCCAGAAAATCAGTTACATAAGTTACAAATCATGAAAAACTTCAGTTACAAGTCATTGCATTTAGGGAAAACTATCAAATAAGCCCCCGTACTATACCGGATAAGTCAATTAGGCCCTCGTACTTTACAAACACTCAATTAAGTCCTCGAACTATTAGAAAACGTTCAATTAAGCCCTTTCGGTCGGTAAGTAACCAGTTTCCCGGTTAAATGTAACATGTTTCCCGGCAGCTGCCGTTGCTGGGGTTTGAGCACATCGTCGCCGTCATCGCCGTTTAACCGGGAAACCGGTTACTAACCGACCAAAAGGGCTTAATTGAATGTTGTTTAATAGTTTGAGGACTTAATTGAGTGTTTCTAAAGTACAAGGGCATAATCGACTTTTCCAGCATAGTACGGGGGCTTATTTGATAGTTTTCCCTTGCATTTAATATTGTAATTAGAAGCCCAACTTATTGATTCCTTGGGACATTGTATAAATAGCATGACATATCAGGGAATGAATCGAGCATTTCAGTCTGAATTTCTTTCTTTTTCTAAATTCCAGCCCTTCTACCCATGGCTAGCGACAGAAATGAAGTTAGGCAACCAGAGGATCTCCAGGAAAAATGAAACCTGGAAAAGTCACTTGCTAGCCAGTCTGTACTCTGTACTGCTTCCAATACCTCAACTAACTCTATCAATAACAAAACACCCGATGGAATCAAAACTCGCTATTTGCGAGTGTTAGTGTTTTCAATGGCTGCGTCCTTACACAACTCATAAGTTAGAACACCAATTCAGACCTTGATTTTTGTTGGGTATTTGATCAAGAAAGTGCTTATTGCTGACTCTATTCCACTACTAACCATATCTTTATTAGTAGGCATATTGTCTTCAATGAGTCTGTCTTTCCTGTCTCTAACAATCTGACGCCAGTTACAAATCTATCCTCTGAGATTGATAACTGGTTTCAGCCACCCATTTCTTACCTTCCTGTTTCACATACACCAATCGCAAAGGCATCTCCTATTACTCATACCCCAGCTCAACAAGACTCTCTTTGTATATCCATTTGTACCCCATCCATTGTGTCCTCATACAATAACTACCAAGCCACCCACATCTAACATTCTAACCCACCCGTGCTCATCACCTATCATCGCTGGCTCAAACAGAAACCACTTGCACAATCCTTTCCCAACCATTACCTAATGCACCTACTATCATCCCCCTGACTATCACTCTTACAAATGCTCACATATCTACCTTGGACCAACCTCATGATCCAAACAACTCTACACCCAAACGCATAGCCACTCACTCATCATTACCTCATCATACTTTTCCTACTTGTACTTCTCAAGCTTTACAGGTACTTGAATAAAGGGAGGCTATGTTTGTGGAATTTGATGCCTTGGTTCAACAAGGAACTTGAGAACTTGTAGCCGCTCATCCTTGTCAAAACATTGTTGATTACAAATGGACATGTACTGTAAAATACAAGCCGGATGGTTCTTTAGATAGATTCAAAGCTCGATTGGTGACTAAGGGCTTTAACTAGCGCCCAATAATTGATTATTCTAAAACCTTTAGCCCAATATTCAAATCCGTCACAATTCAGGTTCTTATGACAATCACCCTTTCTCACGGTTGACAGACCAATTAGGCTATCAGGTAGATGTCAACAATGCCTTCCTACACGGGGATCTCCAAGAGGAAGTCTGCTTGAAACAACTTAATTGTTTCCTAATGGTTTCAATGATGGTTCTGGGAAAGCATGTCATCTTTGCAAATCAATATATGATCTTAAAAATGCACCTCGAGTGTGGTATTCATCTCTCAGTGGATTTCTTTTATCCCTAGGGTTTGAGCAAAAGTGAAATAAATACCAAAGTGAATATGTTTTACTTTATTAGTTAAGTCGCCATTAGTTGATAAACAAATCGCATTTACCAAGCTCATGGGCACTCATTAATAAAAGGAGTAGTAAAACTACATATTGAGTTCAAATGTGTGCAACTTACTGGTACAGTTCAGATTTTCTGTAAATCTCATTGAAATTAATCCCCAGAGCTACTTCCCTTTCGCGTGTTGTATTTTCCAGCACCCACGTGGCAGGATTATAACCATTCTTTATTTCTTTTATGCCTTCAATACTCTGGATGGCAAAAGAAAATTCCCCATGTGAATAGACTTTTTTTATATTTGCAGATTTAGTGAACAAGGTCTTTACTAAAGACAAAGCAAAAGTTCAAGGGAACTTACCTCAAAATAACTTATTAAATGGCAAGAATGATGGCCTAATGGGCCAACGTAGATTTCTTGTCCCCCAAGTGTCATTAGGAGCAACTGCAATCATCCATTACTACAGATTTACTATGTGAAATTTGAATGACATAATAGTGAGCTGAGATGTTTTCTCCCTTTGTCCCAAAAAACAGCCATGCATCATTAAGGTATAACTGTTATTTTTAGAAAGGTACAAATTTAGACGTTATGGAATGGTGTTTTTCATAAACTTTTTGTTTAACTGTGCCCTATAATCATTAATATAAGAGGAGAGACATTTGGTCAAGTCCCAGAAGTACAGAACACAAGGAAATTAGTTCTTTAGTACCTAGAAATGCTCATAAGTTTAAGCACTTTTATTATGAATCATTAATGAGTACTTCTACAAAATCGACATGAACAGTATACATCTTCATGAAAACATCGGAAAAGATTAAAATGAATGATAGAAAAAAAACAATACCTTATAAAAAGGAGTACAGATTCGTTTTTAGAAATTTGCATGAAACACTAGCTCTGCTTTGTGAAACACCACTACTTTTTGGGACAAATATATCTCTTGAGATAAGACTTTTGGAGATGTGGGGGGGGGGGGTACTTGCCTCATCAAAAGCTTCAAATATGTCAATGCTTGGCTGGTGGATAGTACAGACAATAGTTCTACCAGTGTCAACAATGTTCCGAACTGTCCTCATGACAATTGCAGCAGCCCTTGCATCAAGACCAGATGTCGGCTCGTCCATGAATATAATTGAAGGATTAGCCACCAATTCAACAGCAATAGTGAGCCTTTTCCGTTGTCCAGTTGATAGACCATTCACCCCAGGTAAACCGACTAATGCATCTCTCAAAGAGGTAAGCTCAACTAACTCCATAACCTCCATCATGAATAACTATTACAGTTTAAAAGGAAAGGAAATTAATAAAATTTTGTTACTATATATATTTAAATCAAGAAAAAAATTAAATCAAGACTTCTTTTTATTTATTTATTTCCTTTATTTTTTTAATGAAAGAAACTTTATTAAAAATGAAACCAACAAAAGTACAAGGAGAAACAAAAAAAAAGAGAGAAAAAGAAAATGAAAGCAGAAATAACAAAAAACCAGAATTACCCAATCCAAGATTATATATATACATATATATGGGACGTCTTAATTCTCTGTTCTTGCCAGGGTCTTGGAATCACCACATGAGTGACTGGACCTTATTAAGTAGATTTATTCATGTACACAAAACATGTTGGAGATAGATGTACTCCTAAATTTATTGCTTCAACAATTCCGAACATTTAGGTGCCATAATATTTTTAATGGGCATAAACATATACTCACGTTTCTAGTTTCTGAATCGACTTCTGATGGTAAGCGAAGCCAGGCAGAAAAGGTCAAGGATTCATACACTGTGAGGTGAGGAGAGTGGATGTCATTTTGCTCACAGTATCCAGAAATGCGGGCAAATGTTTTCTGCTTCTTTGCAAAGCCAGATACTTTAATTTCCCCTTCAACATACCCACCCGTTTTCCTCCCAGCAAGAACATCCATTAATGTGGTTTTACCTGCACCACTGACTCCCATAAGAGCTGTCAGAACACCTGGCCTGAAAGCCCCACTGACACCTTTCAAAAGCTCAAGAGAACCACCCACCACTCCTTCAATCTTCATCTCCTACAATTCAATGAAACTTTACTACTGAATATTTAAAACTTTTAGATCAAATCAGAGTAAAATGCACAAAATAGGAGTATTCCTGTTTTATCTTAAGATTATGAGTTATTTAGTCCTAATAGAAGAATGAAAGTAGTTAAAGCTTCTTTTTTAAGAATGAACAAGATGTATTGTGAAAAACAATAGTGTTCCTATTTGAGGAAATGTTGGAAGCATCTAAGATTGATCTCTTGAGTTTGAACCAATTATTTTATTTTATCTCCAAAATTACCTCTACTTCCTTTTCCCTGGCATTTTCCATATTCCAAACAGACCCTTAATTCTTTATTAATTCAACTACACAATCAATGCTGTAAAAAACACTAGGCAGTATTCTAAGGCACAGGTAATGTCTAGTCATGAATTAGCGGGACTATGCATGAACACAAGGGGGTCTAAGCCAGATCCGGGGGTGATTGGACATTTTTAAAACCGCTTCTCCTTCAAGTGTCATTGCTATCACTCAAGTAACTTTTTCTCTTTCAGTGTCTACACACCGGGCATATGCCTTCAGTTCGGTTGTGAAGAAGCCTCGAGAGTAGGTGGTGGGAGAACATGAGGAAGTAATCAAGGTGGAAGGATGCAAGTTAACACGGGGCATCGGTGAAAACCCGCTAGCAAGGCACCATTGGTGAATCAAGTAAGAACTCAGGCTCGGGTTTATGCCATGCCAAAGATGGCTGCTCAGGTAAACCCTGACTCCCTTTTGGACAAGTCTTAAGAATTTAACTAAATTATTGAATTCATAAATGTGCATAGGACTCTAAAGTCGGGGGGGCTTCCAGTGATGGCCAAACAGATCTAAATCAAATTTGATTTTCCTTGATATTTTTCAAGTTTAAACCAAACATTGAAAAAACTGTTTTCACTAGCATTTTTTCCTTTCCCAACCATTTTTTCGTTCCAAAGATAATCTAAGTGGTAAGGAGGAAGAAGAGATATTTACCGCAATGTACACAATGCATGAAGTCTGCTTAAAAAATTAAAATGAGAGAAATATACCTGTGGCATGTCTACAGAATATTTAACTTCATTAAACACAATTGAGTGTGGCTCAAATGGAAGAATCATCCCACAATTCCTGTTACCGGTCCCACTCTTGACCTGAGAAGATCCTCTACTACTCACATCATGATCATTGCTATGTGATTCTGGTGACTGAATAGCATGAGGTGGTGACAATGCTGCAAAATATATTATGCATATGAATACCGACGGCCCATAGGGTGATGGTTTAATTTGCCGAAATGGGTGAACCTTCTGATTTTTCTGAAGGAAAAGCATTAGGTAACTTTCATTTCAGCCAACTGATTTGTCTTTTTTTTCTTATCATCAACATAATAATTACTACTTCCGTCCCATATTGGATGTCTTGTTTTAGTCACAATTATTAACAAAGTGGTTGAAAAGTTAAAGTTGTGGGTGAGGTTTGAGCAGAATAAAGTGAATTAATAAAGACCACATATTTCTTTCCAAAAAAAGAAACATGACATTTAATGGGACAACCCAAAAAAGAAAGTAAGACAACCAAAATGGGATGGAGGGAGTATAATAAGTAACATTTAAATTACTTATTTAGATGAAAAGGATGTTACCAAACGCTTTTAAATTCAAAAGAAGAATCAGTAAATTCAACCATTACCAAACAGGCTTAATGTAATTGAAAAGTTACTTATTCTCCTGATAAGCAGATTAAGCCAATTATGGCTGCCAGCCAAAATTTTGACTACTAAGTGTGAATATGTTGGTAAACAGAAGGAAAGAAGAAAATACTATACGTCTTAGGTTCGTCAAAGCTAGAATGTAAACCAAGACTGAAATAATTGTGAATCCAAGCAGCGCCCCAAGTCCAAGCCAGTACCAATGTGCCTCTGGGAAAAGACCACGATACTTCAATACTAGAACACCAAATGGTTCTGATGAAAATGGAAGGACCTGCGATTGATCAATGTAAAACGCAAGTTACTCTCAATTATCAATGAAGAAAATGACTTGTATATAAACAAGACCACCAAAACAGGTGAATGTGGCAAGACTAAGGCTCCATTTGTTATGAAGAAAATAATTTATGGTACATATTTTCTGAACATTCCTGTATTTAGCACAAAAAAATGGAAATTATTTTCCTTGACCATTTGAACTCTTGGGGTATGTTCGGGTCCCAGGAAAAACTAGGGAAAGCAATGAAAACGAAAAGGAAAGCTATTTTCTAGTGTTTTGTTCGGTGATGTTCGGGTCACAGGAAAATGCTAAAAATTGAAACATACTCCGTACTGCGTAATCAACTTTTTTATAATTTAGATTTTTTTATCGCTCTATTAGATTTATACATATATATAGACAATAAGTTGAAAAAAGTCTACATAAATATATCAAGTTTGAGTATATTTTTCAATTTCTTTCCAAAAAATTATGTCCTTAAATAGTCTGTATATAGTTTCCTAACGGCCCTTGAGGAAAATGACTTCTTTGTTCGTTTTTGTTGGTTGAACATTTTATTACACAAACAACAATTTATTTTTCAAGAAAACAAGTTACCCAGGAAAAAACAGTAAAACTGAGCTTAGTCTTAAATCAAGTACTGATAGGAGAAATTCTCACAGTATCCCAACTTTTTCCAAGGAATTCATTTACGGCGATAGCATTTTGAGCATACATCATCGGAGATATCCAATAACCCCAGAGCCACCATTTCATGACTTCATCTAAAAAATAGTAAATAAACTCGTTAAAGACCATCTACGTAAGATTAATTTTTCAAAAACATTGATTGCAAAGTTACCTCGTGACAAGATAAAACCACCCAAGGCAAAGAGCATAAGCATTAGGAATGAACCAACTACAAACGCATTGGTCATACTCCTACCTATTACCCCAGCACATCTAAATAACACAGAAGAAAGTTGTCGGTAAATTATGATTAAAATCCATTGCTTGAATAACCTGCATCCAGAAAGAATAGAAATGGTGATTGCATTGAAGTTGAGAACTAGTGGCCCTTAGGCAGCCACGTTTTAAGCTTACCAGCCAAATTGTTAATCAAATACAAACTTATTTAACTGTGCAAGTTGAATTGGTTACTGGTGAAAAAAAGTAGAGCTGCTGAAGTTGCTGAAGATGTCATTGCATCCTAAAACATTTAAATTTTACACACACACACACATATAAATATCATAATTCAGTAGTATGGCAACTTCATAAACTTCAGCAACTTTAGTCAAATTTATCATCACCAAATGGGCTCTGAGTGAAATACATCTGATTCAGCAGTGGATAGCTACCTTCCAGCATCTGGATCATAGCCAATGACATAGTATGTAGAAAATACCCAGGCAGAAACTTCTACGACTGATAATGGAATCCTGAGGATCCATGTAGGTAAAGCATAGGCCCAAGCAGGATAAAACAAAAGATCCCTTTGCTTGTAGAAAACTGGAAGACGAAAAATAGTTGGAGCTAACTCTTGTAATGCACTAAACATGAAGATACTAAGAGTCCAGAAGAGGGAGCCCAGGTAAATCTGTGCACCAATTGGCGAGTCTCGATCCATATTGGTCCTTATGAACAGTGTCATTGTAATAAGCGCCAAAAGTGTCACCTACGAGAATTAAAACCAATGATAAAGAGTTATAACAATTCGGGGCCGGAAATATGGGCTAGCTCTCACTTAAGGACCATTTAGGACATGAATGATTGAATCTACTCCCTCCGTCCCTTTTTATTCATTCTTCACTTTCTAATTGGCCATAAAATCATCTTTCCTTTCCCTTACTAAAATGATTTTGAGATTGATATTGTTTGTCTCTTCATCTGACAAATTTCTACCACATACCTCTCAGTTTATTAAAAATAGTGCACAATTAGAGTTAGGGACAGAGTTGGTATACTAGTATCACTCTAGGGCTTAAAAAGTCATGAACTTTGAATCTATTTTTCTAATTATTTAAAGTTTATTTTCAATGAAAAATTCTTCTCAAATTAAAATTATACTCCATAAAGGGTTTTTTTAAAAATTTATCTATATAAAGAACCAAATTCATAATTTTATAGTCATGTTTTAATAGTTTTCATCTTTCCAATCCTAAATTGATAAATAACATACTCCCTCCGTATTTTTTTGTTTGCTACAATAGGTGTTGGCATATTTTTTAAGAATGAAATAGTAGGGGTAATAAATAGATTAGAAAAAGTAGGAGAGATGGTGGAAAAGTATGAAAGAGAAGATAACAAGTGGAAAAAGTGAGGGTAGTTGAGTATTTTTAAAGGAAAAACTTACAAAATATGGAAAGTGTAGCAAATTTTTGAATACATCCAAAAAAGGAAAGTGTAGCAAACAAAGAATACGGAGGGAGTACCTTTCTGGTCCAAAATCCAAAAAATTGCATGGGTCTTAAACTCTCAACTATTAAACTCTACAGATTAAAAAAAAGTGTATTAGGAAAAACACACGAGACAAGAATAACCCGAAGGAATTACCCAAGAAAATCCAAATATGTGAAGAATCCTGTTTCTCTTCATCAGCAGAACTTCTCTCGAAAAACAAGATTTCAAGAGCTCCATCTTACTGACACCATATCTTTTGGTAGTCAAAGCAGCAGGGTGACTTTTTATCTTTGGAAATGGAATAGCAAGTTCATCGCCTAACTTGCGACCAATATGAAAAGACTGAAATGCCTCAGAAAATTCCCTAACTGTCACAAACCTGTAAGGTTTGTCCTTATGGACCCAATACTGCATTTGATCTTTCCTTGATGTTACCTGCAATTAAAGAGCAATAGTAGGTTCAGTGCAGTTGTTTCAGTTGTTATCAGTACGAATGTAGGCTTCATTTTATAGTAATCAGCCAGTTTCTTCACTAAAAATCAACTTATTTACTCCATCAACTGAAGCAGCTAATATTGAGAAAATAGTAATGCAAACTTGTATGTCTATGCTGAAATAGAAGAACTTGATGCTTCTACTTTGAATATTTATAGATTAATCTCCTCAACATATTTAAATATAGATTTTATACAATTTAGGGAAAACTGTCAAATAGGTCCTCGAACTTTCATAAAAAAGTCAATTAAGGCCTTCTATAGGAGACTTTGTCCGGTCGTCGCGATTTGGGTCTGTTCCCGGTGGAATTTTTTGATGAAATTTTTTAAGCATCTTATTCATCAAGTCTAGTTTACTCATACCAAATTTCAGCTAAAAATTCAATCGGGAACACATTCAAATTAATTCTTGAAGATAACTGCGCATTTTTGCGTTCTCGAATTAATTTGAATGTGCTCCCGATTAAATTTTTAGCTGAAATTTGGTATGAGTAAACTAGACTTGATGAATAAGATGCTCAAAAAAATTCATCAAAAAATTCCACCGGGAACTGCCCCAAATCGCGACGGCCGGACAGAATCTCCTATAGAAGGACTTAATTGACCTTTTTATGAAAGTTTGAGGACCTATTTGACAGTTTTCCCTACAATTTATTAAGATAATTTAGCTTACTAAGCTAGTAAAGGCACAACGTCAAAAAAAAATTCCTATTTAGCCACTTCAGCAATTTTAAGAGCCATCTTAGGCTCAAAATGGCTGAAGAGGATAATTCTCCTGAAATTGCTGAGTTATGGCTGAAATCTCTTAATAAACCGAGTTAACTAAAATACTCCGTAATAGTTAAAATCAATTTTTAAATAATATAAAGAAAATAATGTCAAATAAAGCCAAAAGTACCCATGTCAGCTAAAAAAGTAAAGCACTGTGTTTTTCTTATTGGGCAATTATGCAGTAACACTAGTTGGCATTTGTGAAAAATATGAGTGTATTCATGCCAGCTAAAAATGTAACACACTGCATTTTTTATTGGCCATTTGTGCAGTAACCATAGTTGGCATTTGGTGAAAACCTTGGTGATAAGGCTGAATTAGTGCCTACTAAATTAGCTAAAAGTCTTAGCTAACAGGGTGCATATCTGTCAATAATACTTTCACTTACTTCTTGCAAGAAGTCAGCGACTCCTTTTCTTTCAGGACATCTAAACCCTTGATATTCAAAAAATTCAAGCACATTGTCACAAGGACCCTGATAGACAATCTGGCCTTCCGATATGAGTATTAAATCATTAAACAGGTCATAACATTCTGGTGCAGGCTGAAGAAGAGAAATGACAGCAGTCCCACTGAGAGTGTGTACATATTGTTTGATGGATTTTATGATTTGGAATGTAGTTGAACTGTCTAGACCACTTGATATTTCATCCATCAAGAAAACGTTGGCTGGCCCCACAAGCATTTCTCCTATAATGTTGTCATTCAGCTTGTTAGAAATCTAAGCATTGAATAAAAAGCAGGGTAAAATATGTTTTTAGTCCCAGAGTTATAGCAACATCCATTTTTACTTCCCTCCTAGAAAACTAATGTTTATCAAACCCTTATAAATGAAAATGTGTTGATTTGCTCCTGTTAATATTCAGTTAGTTGAATGTGCTAGATGAAAAATCTTAGGTGGCAAAAAAAATATGTTTTGTATCCCCCCAAAATTAGTCATCTTTGTTTTCATTCCCTCCTTTGAAGAGTACATTTATTTGCTCTCATGTTAATACTTAATAGTAATAGGTTGGTAGTCATCTCAAAGAACTTTGACCACAAAACTTTAGTTTTCACGTGGAGACTAAAAAATAATTTCGCTTTCATTGGTACTCAAATTATATTATAGAATAGAATTTTGTAAACAGAAGTTAAAGATAGGGGTTTTCCTGATAGGACATAATGTTTAGTTTCAAAATAGAAGTAAAGATTATAAGGATGGACAAAATTACTCTTAAACAATGTATTTATAATAATACAAAAATTAAAATAACTCAATCACCACCAGACTATGGCAAATGCCACAAGACCAGGAAAAAATTGTCAAACTGGTACTCTGATCCTACTCATCCTAGGTTTTGAAGACCATAGCCAAATAATGTCATCTTGAAACTACACTATCATCCTAAAACCAGACTGACCAGCCCAAATTTAAATACAAAAAGATGGTTGAAGAAGAAAGATGGCACTGCTCGGCAGCGGCACGACCAGCCGTCCACGGCAGCTGGCAGTCAGTGTAGGCAGATGCAATTTATTTAATATTTATTATTTTTGAATTATGTTAATAAATCTAATGGAGCAAATTAGGGTACGGACGTACGGTATGGATGGAATACGTAGTCTTAGTGAATAAAATCATTTGTACTCTTATTTAGTGAAAAACACGTGTTTTACTTCTACTGAAAGTAATTTTTAAAATAAAAGTATTTTGAAATCAAGCAACAAAAATAAGCTTGCACACCTGCAGTGAGCCGCTTTCTCTCTCCTCCTGACATGCCCCTAAACAATTCATTTCCTGCAATTGTATCCTCACAGCCTTCAAGCCCCAAAATCTAAAAACCAAATGAGTATAAGATAATTAAGGAATTTTATAGATATGATTTGATTAAAAAATATAGTTGGTACCTTGATGATGTAATCTACAACCACATTTGCTTCCTGACCGTCTGTTGCAGCAGCCTGAAGCATTCACAGCAATAACTTTAAGCAAAGTTTGGAGCTCGGAAAAAATGGTGGGGAAATAATATACGGAGTATATAGATATATATGAACACATACAGAAACATATAAATTTATAGACATATATGTACAAAGGAAAATGGTCTTTTAATGTTTGATTTACCTTGGAATGTATGTAAGGGTAATCAAGTTTGATCAAAAAATTAAAATATACAAAAACTTCCTAAGCCTTTACGTAATACGGAGTAGATATATTTAAATGAAATGAGTTAAATAAAATACCTAAAATTGAGTCTGAAGCAATACTTTTTTCCCTCATCTTTCTTTGCTCCAAATTGCCTCTCTACTTTCTTCCTATATTTTTCCTAGAAGTTTCGCGGTTCCAAACGGAGCCTTATTGACCAGAGACATCTTGTCAATGGTTTCACCATTTGAGTAAAAACCACACACTACATACACTGATGTGGAGTTGTAGTATCCCTATATGCCTAAGTTGTTGGGTTTCAAAACATTTTTATATATCATTTTTATTCTATAATTATTGCTTCGTTTTTTCACTGGGGGAGGGGGGTAGCAACACAACCTCTGTATACGCAAATGTAATGAATAAATAGAAGAAACAAATAAAAAAAATTGAGAAGTGATGAATCTTTCTTTGCTACCTTCATAAAAATATCTATATCACGGTCAGGTATAATATTTGCAGCTTTTTCTCTTCTAGATAACTCTGCTAAAATTTCTGGAACATAGAAGCATAGAGTACCAAAGATAAGTGTGGGCAAAATTATGGAATATGGTTAAACATTTAAGGCTCCGTTTCGATCTAGGAAATGCTAGGGAATGGGAAAATGGTAAGGGAAGTTGTTTCTAAGATTTCTTCAATATGATTAAAGCATTTTTTAAAATATTGGATATTTTTAGATTTTATAGCCTCTATATATAATAGATATAAATCAATAAATAAAATGTGTTTGAAGAAATAAAATGTGTTTGAAAAATAATTGACAATGAACTAGTGTTCTGTTCTCCCCAACATTGCGTCTCCTTTCAAATTCCGCTGTATTTTCCTCCACATTTTATTTTCCTAGCATTTCCCTGAATTCCAAATGAAGCGTAAACAAAACAAATAGTTCAGGAAGGCAATATAAAACAGAAACTGATTCTAACCATATCTGGAGCCAACACCTTGACATCTTGCAGAAAATGCCAGTGTTTCTCGGGCAGTCATTTCTGGAAAATGGACATCCTGTTGACTGATGTAAGCAGCAGTCCTCATGGGCACAAATTCATTCATCTCATGCCCATTGTAAGAAACTCTTCCAGAAAACTAACAATCAAAAGAATGTATTCTAATAGTTAGTTATCTAGAAATTTGGAAGGAATAGCAGATACTAAAGAAGCAATACAAGAGTAGTTGTTTTATTACTTCTAAACTAGGATCAAGTTTCCCTGCCAATGCCAGCAGAAGAGTGGTCTTCCCCGAACTTGGAGGCCCTAGGAGCAATGTCAGTCTGAAATCCATCCAGTAGGTCAATAGCATATTATATTATTCATATATATTTTTAAAGCAAAACAATTTACATGTAAAATTGTTTTGGTGTTATTTATCCCCGTAATTTAAGCAGTTCTGTTTTCAATCCCCATCTGTCAACCTCCTTGTAAATTTAACTGATTCTAGAGATCTGTGAGCTACGTTGATGAGGGAGCCAGGGGCATAATTTGTAGTGTGAATGGTGAGTTTCGCAACCTAGCTCCCCTGACATAAAAACTACGACGCCATCTTTTTTAGGCTGAAGAATAGGGATCAAACAGAGAAAATGTATATGGTAGGGATGAATACAAAAAATCAATTTTTCAGAGACCCAAAAATGCTATGTTTGCAGCGATAAAAATGCTATGTTTGCAGCGATAAAAAGAATATTTAATCTTTCACTTGATATAAATATGCATAGCGAAAGTCTACATGTAATTTTTTCCCGAACATGTATAGTCCTTAGTCAGACCCCCCCCCCCCCAATCTTCCACTGAGCTTAAACAAACAGCTATATAACCAATACCTGCCAGGCTTGATGATTCCACTAACATCACGAAGAATAGAAACATGTTTCTTCTTTGTTGGTAGGTGGAGACAATTCAATATTACCTGTTTTGATAGACAGTAATTTATAAATGCAAGATAATAGAGCGGCAAGCTTCCAGATGACAAGAAGGTATGAACATTAGTTAGATTAGTTACATCCAGTATGTTTAATGAAAGGTTCGTGATAGAAGGCAAAGCTCTTTTTCCTTCATAAGCTTCAGCACCCACATTTAAATGCTCAAATCTGACCTCAACTGAAGGGATATCAATGGAGACCCTGGTAAAGTCAAACACATATGTAAGTCATGGAACAATCAAAACTAGAGAAAAGTGGTACATTCATGAGCATCATGTTCTGTCTCTTAACTAGCAATTTATCTTGTCTATTTCGACACATACCTGTCAATGCGTTCCTTAAGTTTCAATAAGAACTTCTCATTATCTCTTTCAGGGACTTTGATTAACCTCTCAAGGATTTTTTTCTTTTCATCACATCCTATGTTCTTAATATCAACTTCACTGGTCTCACCTAGTAACCCAGTAATCAATCCCTTCTTTAGGCGGTCATAGGTCGGAACTCTCTGAAGGGCAGCCCACATAAGAGCCACCTCATCATCTTCCTTCCTCGATGACTTCACAAAAGCATCAGTCCCATTGTTCCTCCATATGGATGAGCTGTTTACTCTGAAGCTTCCGCTTCTTGAATGAGAATCATTAATCTCCATTAGAACTTTAAGACCTTAAGAACAGGACATAGCAGGATTTTGTGCATTCGCAGAAAAGAAATGAAAAAAAGATTCATTTTTATATCAGCTTACCAGGTCAGCTGTTTTTAGGTGAGTTCATTAACTTCGCAGAACACTCATGCTGTGTGTCCATAGACTTGCTTGTCAACAGTATCATCTCTCCATCCCTACAAGCAACGTTTTTATTGCATGCAATTAATTCAAAATCTAACTTGAAAAGGACACTAAATGAAATTGCAGTAAATTATCTCTTGGTTCTGAAGTGTTAGAAAAATTAAAGAATAAAATGTTTTTAACGGAAAGGGTGTACAAAAGTTCATTTTTTGGCATCTACTAACTTGCAGGAGCATTCAATGACATCCTATCAAACAGCTTGTACGCATGTCCAGGCTGGACGGTCCAGCTACCGAAAGTAACGAGTTATCACCAATGATCGATCCAAGAGACAAGATCAAATCGCCCGTACAGGGTACTGTTTACCTTAGTTTTCCCTTCTCTGGAATAGCATTTCCATTTCCTTTTATTTTTTACGCCATCAATGAAGTAGTTGCCCATAATAATAATAATAATGTAATGGCGGTGCATGCTATTTCTAGACTGCAAACCGTGAAGAGGGACAATAACTGAAGTGATTAATTATCATCAACCCCCAAGTCCCAACTGCCAAGTGGGATGGGAGGGGCCCTTCCCTTTTGAGATAAACTTCATATAAGCGTCCCCCATCTTCTGCTTCCTATATGTTCACAATTTCTTAAAAAGAATGCATTTTTACTCACATGGCCTACTCGAAATGGCCATTCTGAGATAGGGGCGGGTAACGAGCCCTGGACTGTTGAGAAGATCATTGAGTAATGATTAATGAATAATATAGGCCAAAATTTTAGCCAATGAAATGGTACAGAAAATCTAAAAAAAAATATGAGCCCGAGTTTCATACTCCCCTTCAAAACTTGGTCAAGTTTTACGGAAAAAGGAGAATTATTTGAAAGAGAGATGGCCCTAAATAGGACTAAAAGAAGGTTGAATTGCAAAAATAGGACACAATGTTTTAAATTTCCTTAATAGGACTAATTATTTGAATTTGGACAAAAATAGCCCTATTAGTTACTGCTGCACCGTTCGCAGTTCGCTAGGTGCGTCCTTTCGCTGAACGCCATCTCTGCCCAGGTAAGTTTCTTCTACAACTCTTCTATTTTTATTCTTCCCTTTGATTTCCAAATTTTTATTAATCCTGAGTAATTTATTTTAAAAGATTCATATTATTGTTCTAATCACTTCAATCTGAAAATTTTTTCTCCTTCTTTTGAACACTGATTTGTGATATCAAAGACATCAAAGACAAAAGCATGCCATTTTTAGATGCAAAAATATGTCATTTTGAGATTATACCATGACATTTTCAAAGACAAAAACATGCCATTTTTAGATCCAAAAACATGTCATTTTGAGATTACAACATGACATTTTCAGATTAAAAATTATGACATTCTCATATCATAAAATTGTCATTATTTCTAAAAAAAAATGTCAAAATCATTGCATTTTCAAACATATAATACGGCCATCTCCACAAAAATTGCCATCATGTCTACAAAAATATAGAGTATCATAAAAATGTCATCATTTCTAAAAAATGTCAAAATTATTGCATTTTCAAACATATAATAATGTCATCTCCAAAAAATTTCCACCATGCCTCCAAAAATTGCCTACCTTGTGACATTTTCAGAAGGTGAATGACATGTACATAATAAAACAAAAATCAGGCCAATATAATATCGAAGGACAATTGATACAGCCTCAAATTTCATATCCAGAAGTCCCAAATCTGAAATTTTCAAATAAAAAAAATTACATTGTGAATCTAAAAAATCAACAAAAAGTAACAGAAAGAGCAGAACACGACTCAGTAGAATACATAAGAGAATAAGAAGAAAAAGAAGAGGAGGAGGAGGAGGAGGAGGAGGAGGAGGAGGAGGAGGAGGAGGAGGAGGAGGAGGAGGAGGAGGAGGAGGAGGAGGAGAAGAAGAAGAAGCATACTTGGACATATTTCGACCAGAGTCGTGGAGCTTGGAAACCGCGGACATGGCAGAGGTCTGGGCAATCGACGAGAGAGGCAGAGGAGACACCGATTGATATGCGGAAGAGTTAGGGGCGGAAGAGAGATCCGATGCATTTAGGGATTTTATATATCAGGTCATCAGGGGTAGAATGGTAACAGGTAGTCCTATTTGGGAAATTTAAAACATTAAGTCCTAAGTTGAAATAATGACTATGTTTTAGTCCTAATTAAGTTAATTTCTTTATTTGAAACCATAAATTCTTTTCTCAAAAGAGAAAGTGCATAGTTAATGGGACAACAATAACAACAACAAAAAGTTGACAAAGTTTTAAAGAATGAATGAAGTGTTTTTTTGTTGAAACTATCTTTTATATTAATAACTAGCGCTTAATACGTGCAATGCGTGGAATCACACGCCCAATATAAAATGAATTAATTAATATTATTTTATAATAATGTATTCATGTGCCATTCATGTTATGACACATTTTATATTTCTTTTAAAGTGAATAACATCTCAAACTTAAATACTCCCTCCATAACAAAAAAAAAATTCTCACTTTCCTTTTTCGTCCGTAACAAAAAAATCTTCCCACTTCTAAATCTTCTCATCATACCCTCAATAATTCTAAAAATAATACACTATTACAACTACTTTTGGATTTATCCTACATTCCATCACATTATTCCACTAACTTCTCATCATACCCTCAATAATTCATATCATCTTTCACTATTTTTAATCTACCTACTTTTGAAATAGGAAGGTTTTTAAGTTACGGAGGTAGTACCATTTTAGAATAAAGCTATATTTTTCTCTTTTAATGTCAATGTGGGGCTAGAATCAAGTTCTCTATGGAGTAGCTTTTATCGACACTACCATTTTCAAATGAGATTAGTTTTTTTGTGACATTAGAATGGCTGAAATTGATTATATGTAATTTAAATAATAACTATGATCAGATGTACAATTAGATGTTATTATGATTTAGCAATGTTGGCGAGCTTGAATTTAGCTTTCAATTGACATACGAAAAGCTCAAATAAATAACCTTCCGATTAGATCAATGAAATGCAAAATTAAATGAACTTATGGTTAAAAGAGATCAAATATATTACTCCCTCCGTCCCCGTAACTGTCTCGTTTTACCCTTTTCGTCCGTCCCATTAAGTTTGTCTCATACCGTATTTGGTAATATTTGGCTGGTTACATTTTATTATTAATTACTTTATTCACACTTTATCAATTCAATATCAACCACACAATTTCACTTTTTCTTAAAAGTTGTGTCAAACTCCTTTGTCCCAAATATAGTAGGATGGAGGTAGTAGTATAATAATACTTCGTACTAAACTTAAATATGATGAAATCAAGTGCTCTATTGATATGCAATGAACATCATTAACTTGAAATAATTTAGTCGATCGTATAAGAAATATTAATTTGCTACGTCTTTTGACTACAATTGTAGCAAATACTCCTAAGTTTTTTCCCATTTCATATGAGGATTTTCCACCAAACTATGACATGATGGAAGACTACTGATTTCGAATTACCGCAATCATATCATGAGTGTATTTATCCATTATCCAATACAAATAATGACTCATATTTTTAGAATTTTAAACCATAAATCAAGTTTTCATTTTAACTATGTTTTACACTTTTACCTATGAGAAATCTCTAATAAATCTATGCCGTTATTTCCTTAATTAAAAGTGAGTTCCGGTGTTAGTGGGATAAGATTATAAGAATAATCTCACCTTTCACCTTTCATTGGTTTTCTCATAATAATCCCACATTTACGTAATCCCAGAATAATCTCACCTTTGCACCCCACAGTGAAATGTGGGATTATTCTTGTCAATTTTTCTATACTTAAAAGTTAAAAGCTAGAATCTAATTTTTACTATTTCTATTACACAAAAAACACTTATTTTACCAAACACTACCAACTCTTACTTTTTCAAAATCATTTTTTTCTCAAACACTACCAACTTTTACTATTAAACATTTTTTCCCAAATCACATTAAAACGTTACAAAGCACTTCTGTGTAGTGTTTGTATCAAGAATAAAGAACCTGGACTGGATTTGCTTAGCTTTATAGTCTTGGGCCTACATGTTATCTTTGGGCTTTATTGTATATTATCTAATAATGTATAAATACCCTGAGTAGTTTGTAAATAAAGTTAAGACAATTTTCATTCGATCAATCTATCAGCTCTCTTCTTCTCCAAGAAACTCTCTGTAACTCTTGTTCATCATCAATTCAATCTGTTTCCTGAGAATTAATTTTCACATGGTATCAGATTAGGTATCGATCCTCTATCGATTTTACTCTGCTTCGTTGATTTCGATTTCTATAATCGAATTCATCTCTATCGATTTTACTTTGCTTCCTGAAACCCTAATCGCATCATTTGCGATGAATCCGATCAATCCTATTGAAGATCCTTCGTCTCCCTATTATCTGCATCCTGGTGATCACGCTGGCTTACGTATCATCTCTGAGACACTGAATGGAGACAACTACAATGCCTGGAAGAAGTCTGTCACCATGGCTTTTAGCGTGAAGAATAAGATGGGGTTCATTGATGGTTCCATTGCTCAACCGAGTCCAGATGAGTCTGTTTTCTATTCAATCTGGTATCGTATCAATGCTCTATTGCTTTCTTGGCTGATTTACTCGATTGCTCCTGCTATTCGATCTACTTTCTTATATTTCACCTCTGCTAAAAGCCTTTGGGATGAAATCAAGATTAGATATGGTAAAAGTGATGGTCCTAGAGTTTTTTATCTAGAAAAAACCCTAGGTAATATCTCTCAAGGAACTCAGAGTATTACTGATTATTACAACATGTTCAAAGGTCTCTGGGATGAATATGTCGATTTTAAAACCCTTCCTACATGTTCTTGTGGTCTTTGTACCTGTAATCTCAATGAAAAATATCAGTTGCTTCTTGAAAAAGAATCTGTTCAGAAATTCCTTGTTGGATTGAATGAATCTTACTCTGGTTTGCGAAGCCAAATCCTTCTTCAAACTCATTTTCCCAGCCTCTCTGTTGTTTACTCTTTCTTTCTACAAGAGGAGTCTCAAAGAACACTTCAACATCCTGTCAACTCTGTTCCCTTTCCTTCTGATCCTTCATCTACTGCTGATTCCACTGCATTTTTTGTCAAAAATTCCACCTACAAGAAGAAATCTTCTGTTATCTGAACTCACTGTGGTTATCAAGGCCATACTGCTGAGAAATGTTTCCAAGTCATTGGCTATCCTCCTACTTGGAAAGGACCTAAAGGACAGAGGACTGCTCCTGGTTTCAAATTGCCATCCACATCTGCTAAAAATACTCATGCTCACCTAGCCAATACTTCACATGAATCTTCCTTTGATGACTTGGACTTATGTTATCCATCTTTGTACAACAAGTTTCTTGAGTTTATGAAGGCTCAGAATGACAAATCTGCTTCTGCTCATATTGCCATGACTGCTCCTAATGCTTCTGCTCATATTGGCATGACTGCTCCTAATGCTCCTGATCAGTCTTCTCATAATTCTCATTTCATTGGTAATCATTCAGCTTTTATATCTAATGTTCAATCTTCTATTTGGATTTTGGACACTGGCGCTTATGATCATATGACTCATAACTTCAACTTATATACTTCTTATCCTAAAACTGTTTCTATTAATGTTCAATTACCTACAGGAAGTTTTATTACTACCACTCACATTGGTGATATTAAACTAAATAACAAATTTACTTTACATAATGTATTATATGTTCCACAATTTAATTTTAATCTCATCTCT